TAATGAGATGGGACTTTGGAGGTGTGTAAAAGGATAGTTTGTTGGCAAACTTGACAGTTGTCAGTAATAGATTTTAGATACTCTACTGAGAACAGTAGGTTGCAGAAACGAACAAAAGCAGTCATTCTGGTGACTCCAGGATGACACAAAGAATTATGTAATGACGAAAGAGTAGACAAGCTCATGGCTGAAGAGTACATACGACCAAAAGTATCGGGTACAATATTGTCTATTCTTTTCCGGTAAACGATGTCAAAGCTTAACAAGAAAGCTCGAGACGCCAACAATAAATTTTGTCACTCTTGATCTTACTTTTCTTATTTTTGTTAAACATAAATGATACAGATTGTTAATCAGTTAAAAGCTTGAAGCGTGTGCCAGTTAGTAGGTGGCACCAATGTCAGACAGTTTGGATAATAGCACATGCTTCTTTTTCAATTTGGGGGTGTTTTAGCTCGGATTGATGTAACAAACGCGATAAAAAAGCAACTGGTCTGCTGTTTTGATTAAGAATCCTGGCAATTGCAGTATCGGAAGCAACAGTTTCTAACTCAGATGGTTCATTCTCATTAATAGAACACACAACAGAACATTCAATGTCTTTTTTAAGCGTAATAAATGATTCAATACATGAAGAGTCTAAAGGAAAAGATTTAATTTTAACTAACGAGGCAATCTTTTTAAAGAAATGAGAAATCCACCGTGAATAGTACAAAAATAAGCCTAATGTTTGCTTAAGCAATTTTGTATCAACAGGTATCGGTAGTTTTTGAAGTGGTCGGAGTCATTCAGTGTCTGGCTTGATTTATTGATGACTGACTTCATAACCAAGAAGATTCAGGGATGTGGTAGCGAAAACACACTTTCATTGTTGTAAGTTAAGTTCTTCAATAAAAGTTAAGTATACAATAATGTGCAGATTATATATATATATATATATATATATATATATATATATATATATATATATATATATATATATATATATATATATATATATATATATATATATATATATATATATATATATATATATATATATATTAGCAGCTAAAAGGAAACACTTTAAGTTGTAGTCGTGTTCTTCTTGTGTCGTACCACAGATTGTCAAATTATCAAGATAAGCAGAAGTATCTTTCAATTTCTCTTTGCCAATAAAATTATCCATTGTTCTTTGGAACTGTACCACTTCATTCGTGACACCAAATGGCATAAAAGTAAACTGATACAAGCCACCGACGGCTTCAAATGCAGTATATAAGCAATCTCCTTGTTTAATTGGGACCTGGTGATAGGCTGAATTCAAATTAGTGGTACTAAAGTAACAATACTGAGATACTTTATTTACAAGTTCATCCACTTGTGGTAGAGAGTAGGCATCAAGACATGTAAATCGATTGATAGCTTGGCTATAATCTATAGCTAAGCACTTTTTTGATCTATTATTTCTTGTCACAACAACTTTCGATCTCCAGGGTGACGTTGAAGATTCAATAATTCCTTCTTACAGGCACTGTACTTCTAAGGTAATAACGTTACACATTTCTGAGGTAATAAAGTTATACAGTAGTACAGGCGCTGTACTTCTGAGGTAATAAAGTTTCTGTCTTTGGCACTGTAATGGTGGGATTTAGAAGCTATAGGTTTGCTATCCGGTGTAAAGTTTTTGAACAGGTGGAGAGGCTCTACATTTAATGTAGCAGGTCTAACTACAAGAGGGTCTCTTACTCCCCCAAATTTAAGTGTTACACTCTGGTGCTGTGACTGGAAATCAATTCCTAGAATAATATTTGCACACAAATTGCCCATGACATGGAGTTTTACATTGGGGTAGTTTGTTTTATGAATTATTAGATCAACAAAATGAATCCCAGTAACCGAGGTTGACAAGGAAGTCGATGTCATTTTACAGAGCTTTTAGTTAGTGATAATTTAAGTTTAAGTTGGTTGATTAATTTAGGATGAATAAAGCTATCTGAACTTCCACTATCGATAAGACCTTTGATAGATTGACTGTTGATTGTAATATTGCAACTAGACCTTTGCAGGGATAACTTTTTATACTACTAGTAATTTATACTAACGTTGGTTTTAAGACAGATGCAGAAGTTGGGTTAGTGTTAGTTTGCCTAGAAAGACATACTTTAGAAAAGAGTTCTTTTTTTCCACACTTGTTACAAGTAACATCTTTAACTGGACATCTGTATCTAGGATGCATAACATTTCCGCAAAAGAAGCAGGCTTTGTTTTTAGAAGAGTTGTTGCTATTAGGAATAGCAGCAGATGTTGTGGGAATCTCTGTATTTTTATTAAAGACAGATGCTGTAAAAGATGGCTTTGATGAAAGAAGATACATAATTTTCAGAATACTTTTGAGCAGATTCATAAGCTCTAGCTTTATCAAACATAACCTCCAATGTCATCTCTCTATTTTTAAGTAGTCTTGGACGAATTTCATTTAAAACTATACCACTGATAAAAGAGTCCCGAATTGCTTCTTCTTGGTATTGTAATGCAGTAACAGTTTTAAAGTTACAATCCTTAGCAAGTAATTTAAGTGTTTGAATATATTCATCAAATGACTCAGCTGGTTGTTGTCGACACGTTGCTAAACAATGTCGGACTAATATTGTATTTGGTGGCTTGAAATAGAGATTATTCAATGTTTCTACTGCTAAATCATATGTGTTACACTCACTAATGTATTCGAAAATTTGATGCGATATAAAGTTGCTTAAAATTTTAAGTTTGTTGGTAGCCTCCTGGGGCAATGCGTCCAAAAATTTTCAAAAGTTCTTAACCAATGCTTGTACTCCTTACTACTGGATGAAGTATTTGGAACTCAAAACGTGAAGGTCTTAGAGCTTTGTTCATTGTTGTATTAATTTCACATATTACGCCAACATTTACAACCAATTGTGCATAATAAGTTGATAAAATTGTTGTAAGTGAAGGGTACACAAAGAAACAATAATATACTTTTTTTTATCTTTTTATCAACTAAACATAAAGAAATATAAATAAAACAACAACAATAATAATAATGTTCAATATTATTACATGTGGTTGTATGTTGTACAGCTCGTGCACAATCACCTCCCATTATTGTATTTTTTGCCAAAGCAACAATTCTTTCCAAATGCTGCATTTGTTGTTCCACAATCCCAGTACTGAATCCAAGTAGAAAATGAATTGCATTATTAATATTACTTTTAATTTTTGACAAGATTGTTACCACCGGGTTAAACTTTACGCTATATCATAGCTATAATATATAGTTATATATAACAAGAAAATTGAGTTTTATCAGAGTTTAAGTTCACCAGCCACTGAGACCCACATGCTGCAGCATGTGGGTCTCAGCAGAAGTAAGATCCTTTTCAAGCTAAAATGCCCCCTCCAAGCAATCAGAGAGTGTTGGCTTCTTATCAAGACAAGAATAAATAGCTGTATCATCAGCAAACAATGCCACCTAAGATGTGAGAATTTCTGGGAGATAATGTCAATTAAAAAAGGTATAGGGCTAAGGATAGACCCTTATCATATGGTGATATTGAATCTTAACTATTGTCTACCATCCAAAGGTATAGGGCTAAGGATAGACCCTTATCATATGGTGATATTGAATCTTAACAGTTGTCTACCATCTCGTACCTCTTTTGGAAGATCATCTATTCTGTTTACCATCTTGTTCCTCTTTTTGAAGATAATCTTTTTTGTTCACCATCTTGTTCCTCTTTTGGAAAATTATCTCTTCTGTTCACCGTCTTTTTTCTCTTTTGGAAGATCATCTCTTCTGGCAATCTTTAGTTTACAAAGTTTGCAGAGTTTCTTCCCAGAAGTGATATTCAAGCTTCTAATCATTGTTGTGACTCATTATAACTATCACAATTTTCTATTAATAGTTGAACTTCATAAAGCTCATCTGCTCAATTTTCTAACTTTATTATGTTTTAGAAAGAAAAAAATTAAAAAGTTTTATATAATATTTTAGTTTTACAGTTACTTACTAGTGATTTTTTTTTCACTTCAGGAGCATCGAATGGATCAACAAGCTTTCTGCAATATTGCAGAAAGCTTATATATATTTTTATACATTTAAAATATTTTTATATGACTTTCACACAGTATTAAAAGTTTTAAAACTTACTAATCAAATACATCAGTATCACACTTGGTCACTTTTTAAACAAAAACAAAATATGACATGTTTTTTAATAGTTAAAGTTCTTAAAATATTTATATTTTTTAAATTATAGTTCTTTAGGTTTCTGTTGTTTTGCAAGCTTATGACAAGGTTTTAAGTAACTAAAATATTGAGATCAACAAAAACTTACACTAAGGTGTTTTCAGATATTTGGCCTTAAAGTTGAATAATATTAACTAGCTGTTATTAATTTTTATACGTGTTCCCTTTATATTTTAAAATACATTTATCGAAGTCAATTCCAAAAAAACATTATAAAAGTTTATTTTCATATTTTTTTCATAAGTTTTTGCTATTTCTCATTTTACTAAGAAAATCAATTTTCCAAAAGATGAAGAGTTATTTTAGGGAATTAATATTAATATTGAAGCTTGAAAATTGATCATCATTTTTGGGCAAAACTTTTTGAGCAAATTTTTCTGTAACACACAAAAGCTGAAGAAGTTTAAAGAAAATATAAGGACCTATAATTTGAAATTTCTTAACTTTTAAGTGATTTGACATGGACTTACTTAATACTATGACAACAACTTAACTTGAATAGCACCAAATAACACAAGTTAACTTTCTTATACAGTAATATACTATGATTTGATAATTAAAACATAACCTTAAGTAAGCCTTTAAGGAAATTATCTAACCCATGCTTTAACAGTAACAAAAATTGTTGAAAAAAAAAATGATAAAGATTACTTAGCCTTAATGTTAAAACAATTGACATAAATAACAATCAATAAAAAAAGTATAAGAATTTCACAAAATTTCATAAAACTAAAATTATTAATATACATACTGTTCTGGAGCTGTCTTCTTATTTTCATTCTAGTTTAAATAAAATTTGTTTCATTTGTTATAACAATTTTAAAATTTTGGAAAATATACAACCCTAAAAAACATTTCATTGTAAAACAATTTTTCACAATTTATTTACAATAACTCATTTATAAAACATATACCTTTAAATCACAGCTTTCCATGATACTAATTTGTTCAACTTTTTTGATTTTCTTAAGAAATATTGAAATCCAAAATTTTTTTAAATCTTCAATAATTTTATAAATCAAATTTTTTAATTTGTTTAACCTATACAGATTTATAGATTTTAAAATAAGTAAAATTTAAACAACCCGTAAAATATTTAGTAAAATATTACTCAAACTCAGCTTCAATAATTATTATAAAATAATTATTGAAGCTGTTGCCTCTTTTATAAAAAATAATATTTCTAGTACCTTTTTTTACTTATTAATTTAATTATAGCTTTACAAGTATTTATTAATGAATAAATTGATATTATAATTTAATAACTGAATATTAAAAATATTAAATATTTATAAATAAAAACTAATAATCTTGTTGATAAAGTTTAATTTTTGATTTGATATTATAACTTGCTTCTTGTTTTACGTACAGGTGTTTACATGTGAGCGCTTATTACTATTTGTAAATACCCTTGATGAGCTTTATTTAAAATACATATATGTATATATATATATATATATATATATATATATATATATATATATATATATATATATATATATATATATATATATATATATATATATATATATATAAATATATATATATAAATATATATATATATACATATATATATATATATATATATATATATATATATATATATATATATATATATATATATGTATATATATATATATATATATATATATATATACATATATATATATATATATATATATATATATATATATATATGTATATATAAATAAATTAGTAGAAAATCACTTGACAAAAATTTTTTTCATTTTACACTGTGTTTCATCAACAAAGACTCATCAGAAATGAATTCAGAAATGACTCATCAGATTCATTTCTGATGAGTATTTGTTGATGAAACACAGTGTAAAATGAAAAAAATTTTTGTTAAGTGATTTTCTACTAATACACTAGGTCAGCCCAAACACACACACATATATATATATATATATATATATATATATATATATATATATATATATATATATATATATATATATATATATATATATATATATATATATATATATATATATATATATATATATATATATATATATGTATAACACTAGGTCAGCCAAAGTCAACAAACTATGCTTCTATAACCTTCCTTAAGTCGACAGATTTCCTGTCGACTTAACTTAACGTTTGAATGAATTTTAGTAATGATTAGTTCAATGAAAATAAAAAAAAAAAGATACCATTGTAACTTCTAAATTATACTCAAGAGATCTCTATGAAAAACATTAACAAAAAAAATGCGGTAAACTATAAACAATAACTTTTTTTAAAAGCGTGTATGTTTACTTGTGTTACATATACGATCTATAGGTTGATAGTTAAGAGATTGTATTTTTTGTTTGAAATATAAACATATTTATTATAATTTTTTTGTTCAAAATATAGATAAACTATTTAGTTAAAATAATATACAACCAGTTTAAAAAAAAAATTAACATTTAAACATTATATAATATGTTATTTTAACTATAAGTAGACTTATTCTACTCGTATTTTTTAGACCGGAATGCCGGAATTTATTTTTTACTTTTATTTTTTAAGACATGTGACACAGACTGTGTAAATCAAATTAAAAAATATTTTCCTACAAAGCCTTGAAAAGATATATAGGTAACCCTAGGCAAAAAATATAAAATGGATAACAAAAACTATGTGACTTTATTTACAATAATAAACTATGTAATAAATTTTGGAACTTTTAGAACTGGTGCAAAAAGAGTTGCTAACCAGTTTTAGGCAACAAACTAGTTCTTTTCTCATCAAAAATGTTACCTGTCTCTGAGAATAATATAGTCTCATTTTTAACAATCTTCCAGATATTCTCACATCTAAGGTGGCATTGTTCGCTGATGATACTATCATTTATTCTTGTCTTGATGAGAAGTCCACTCTCTGATTCCTTGGAGGGGGCATTTGAGCTTGAAAAGGATCTCACTTCTGCTACAGCATGGGGCTCACAGTGGCTGGTGAACTTTAATTCAGATGAATAAAACACAACTCAATTTTTTCAGCCAATTGTTATCGCAATAATTTAGACTTTCCTATATTTACAAACGGTAATGTACTCAATGAATCATCTACCCTTCCTTTTCTAGGATTAACTCTTACTTCCGAAAATTCATTGTCATGTTACTCGTCATTCAATTAAGTCTCATCCTTTTTCCGTGACTATTCCTAAGTGCTCCAAAAACCCTTATTTCACTAGTTTTTTCCTCGAACATCAGTTCTTTGGAATTCAGTAACTTTATCTTGCTTTCATGATTGATATAATTTCTAATCTTTTAAGTTGCCTGTCAATTGCTATCTTGCTCTACAATCTTCATCTTTTCTTTTCCAGTAGCTTCCAACTCTAATTAGTGGTTGCTTGCAGCCTTGTTGGAAGCGAAGATGTTTAAAAAAAAAAATGTTTCTTAAATTTTTAACAACTAAAAAGTTAAGGATGCCTAATATAGATAACATCTAGGGTCTAGGCCTTGGCGAGAATACATGAGTATGAGAGCGGAAAAAAGTTCTCCTAAAACAAACTTGGGGAGCTGTGCGAGCTGCTTCTCATTTAAATCGGCGCTCTTTTTTCATTCTAACTTTTTTTTGCAATAACCGTGCCTTTAAAAAAAACTTCAGTATATTATGCAACTAATTTTTTCTAACTGACATTGTGTTTTTTATTTCTTCCTAATATTAATTGCATGTAAGACAATGGTATTTGTACTTTCAATACACCCTCTACTGTGCTAATTTTTAAATAGCATATTTTTTTAATCAACTCTTGACAGAATAAGATAAGCGAGTATTTAGGCAAATGAATTATTTTACAGTAAATACAAATACAACAAGCATTTCAAACAGCTGAAGCTTTACTACTGCATTGGGATTGTTTATATCTTCCAAAACAGTTTTCCGTCTAAAAATTTTAGGAACAGATTCAGTCATTTTGAATAATATTTAAACCACTTTTAATGAAACAATAAGAGTTAAAACTTTCATTATAACATATGAAAGGAATAGGTAATGAATTAGATTCATTAGGAAAATAAATTAACTCGATTACAATGGGTTCACAAGTTTATATTTGTGTCAAAAAACAAAATCCAACCTTTAAAAATATTTATCATGGCTGAAATACAGACTTATTATACTTAAATTTGTTTGTATCCTTGTATTAATCTAGTCATAAAAAATGTTCGATTGAAGGCACTTTGAATAATGAATAACTTTGGTATGATATATTGTCCAAAAATAATATCGTCAGCAAAGTATTGCAAATCTAGAATATGCAAATCGATTTGGCCATAAAACATCTAAAACGTGTGTGTATATATATATATATATATATATATATATATATATATATATATATATATATATTATATATATATATATATATGAAGCGCTCTTTGTGCTACTTTCAAATTAGCTCTGAGATATTGTAAACATCATAATGAACAAAATCAAGCTGATTTATGTGCAAAAAGTCTGAATAATACCGACTCTAGAAAGTTCTGAAACAATGTATGTAAAATTAGTAACAATAACACAGTAAACTTTGTTGCTAGTGTTGGAGGTGCTACAGGTGATAGTTATATTGCAAATATATGGAGAGAGCACTTCCAAAAATTGTATAACTCAACTAACAATAAAAAATATTACCTCAATTTCATTAGGGAAATGGAACTCTCCACAGAAAACTCTGATATTATTGTGAGTTGCATTGAAATATCTAATACAATAAAAACTCAGAAACTAGGAAAAGCAGCTGAAATCTTTTAGGTATGGTGGAAATAGACTGCAGCTTTTTATTAGTATTTTTTTTAATTTATGCATTAAATATGGCAATTTACCATCCACGTTTTGTGAGGCCATGATTATTCCAATAGTGAAATCTAAAATGGCTGATTTAACAGATGTGAACAACTATAGAAATATAACTGTTTCCTCTGCTATGTCGAAAATATTTGAGAGTCTTTTATTGCAGAAAATCAATATGTTCAACATTGATAAAAATGATGGTTACCAATTTGGCTTTAAACAAAATCAATCAAAAACAGCATGCTCAAACTATTTTAAAAAGACCATGCAGTACTATACATCTAGAGGAAGTCATATATTTGCTTGGTTCATAGACTTTTATAAAGCATTTGACAGTGTCAATTACTGGCTGTTATTTCAGAAATTACTAGATAATGGGTTACCCAAAAAAATTGTTTGTTTGCTTGCTTGCATTTTGGTATAGTAATCAACAAATGTCTGTTCAATGGCAGAATACAAAATCAAATAGTTTTGGAGTTGGAAATGGGGTTCGTCAAGGTAGTATATTCTCACCGTTTCTATTTAACTTTTACATACACAATCTGATTTTATCAATCTCAATGTATTGGATGTAATATAGGTGGCATCTTCATGAATGCATTGGCTTACACTGATGATATGGTTTTAATTGCACCATCTTGGTCTTCTCTTCAAAAACTTTACAAATAAGCTTTACAAATAAGGAATCTTCCTTAACTAACATGTCCTTTAACTCAAAGAAAACTGTATATATGGTGTTTAACCCAACTCAAAAATTAAAAATTATATCAAACTCCTTCTCAGAATTATGCATATCAGGCTGTAAAAATGCTTTTTTTAAATCTTTAAAATACCTAGGCCATATAATTAAAAATGACCTAACTGATTAAATCATATTGCAGTTTATATGGTGTTCTTCTGTGGCAAATTTATAATGATAAAACAATGGCACGCCTTCAGTATTGCTACAACAAATGTGCTAAAATGTTTTTTGGCTACAAAAAGTATGATAGTATATTTCTCATGCTTTTAGAGCACAGATTACCATCTTTTCATACAATTATTCCGAACTACAGACATGCTTTTTGTAAACAGTTGATGGCTTATTCCTAAGTGAATAATTCCATACATTCACTTAATCAAAGTTTAAAATAATATTTTCATTGTAAAAACTATGGACCTGGTACCTAAATTGCATCTCCCTATTGTCTGAAATATATTCATAATAATAATAATAATAATAATAGTAATAATAATA